AGATAGATAGATAGATAGATAGATAGATAGATAGATAGATAGATAGATAGATAGATAGATAGATAGATAGATAGATAGATAGATAGATAGATAGATAGATAGATAGATAGATAGATAGATAGATAGATAGAAGAATGCTTTGTAACCACATGATTTTTGGGCATGTTTTCAGACGCTCTGGAAAAAAGGATTTGCACCTCATTGTTCCAGAACACTCCAAAACCTGGAGGGCTGAAGCTTTCTGTGTCGGTGACGGTGGTTTTGGTTTGTCTTCTCCTAAACGTCTCAAAGTTGTCCAGCCATTCAGTGTCCACCTCGATCATCCCGGTTCCATCATCCTGATGGAAAGCTTTCTGTTGAGGGCAACTGTTTCCAAAAACTCAAAGAAGTGCCATAAGGTAAAGTTCTGGTCAGTTGTGGTCTTGAAGGCAAAGCTCTTACTTCTCAGATCCAATGAGCCCAGGGTCATCTATGGTCACTGAACCAAAGGTCAGTAGATAGTGATTCATGGCCAGTAGATCCAGACTGAAGCAAATTGAAGATCCATGTGACTGAGATGTGGTTCCTCTGTGAAGTAGCTGAGCTTCAGCGAAACTGAAGTACAGATTAGGCTATTGGTGTCTAAAGGAATAGGCTGAGGTGGGTTGGACATTTGGTTGGGATGCCTCCTGATTGCCTCTTTATGGAGCTTTTCTAGGTACATCCTACTGGTAGGATGGGGGGACCCAGAACCACATGTTCTGGGAGGTCCTTAGGATCTCCCAGGGGGAGCTGTAGAGTTCTTCTTGGGAGTGGGGTATCTGCTTTACTCTTCTGAACCTGTTGCCTCCATGACCCAACCTTGAATAATTGGAAAAAAATTGATGGATGTTTTTATTTCACACTCTTTTGGTTCGACATGTGTTTTTATGTGTACCGTTGGATTGTGGAACCTCAATTTAACTTGCTGATGTGTTTCTTAAACAGATAAAGGTGACTCTAAGCCCCTGCTCATACCTCACCACCACATCCTTGGCAAGTCATACATTTTGCCTGTGTAAGAATAACCACAAAACTGTTGAGTGGAGAGTGACCCCTACAGCCTTAGGTGAATATCAAATGGCCCCTGGTTTCTGGAGTAAAGAGATGTCTTTATTTTGACTCACATTGTACATTATGCATCTTTTTATTTTACTGTTATTTTAGTATTATGACAGAAGCTTAAGAAGAGGCTCTTTGCTCTCTGTTCCAGGGCCTGTGAAAATGGTCGTGACTGCTGAGGCTCTGTTGTCCAACACTCCTTGCGGGAACAAGAAAGTGGTTCTTCCAAAAAAAGGCCGTGTCAACACAGAAACAGGAACCGTCATAGTTAAGGTTGGTGCTATGACCAGTATACACTTTTGGAATTTGATTACTTCAAATGCAAATGACTGTTAAGGTTGGTGCTATGACCAGGTATAGCAGGCAAGCAACTTTTGTTAAGACAAAAAGTAGATTAATTATTTTTCTTTTAGTTTTTGTTGTTTGTTAGTGGGCTGTATACCCACAGGGGGGCATTGTTGGATAAGTCATTTCCTAGACTGGACTGGAGTAGACCCTTAAATGTGTTGAGCGGTGTCCTGAAGTCTGTTGAAGTGGATCATACTAATATACTGGTCCTTCTGATATTTTGTTTGGTCGGGGGGATCGTACCCTGAGCACTTTCAAGGTTTGGCAGTTTGATTAGGTCCACTGTGAACAGTTCGGGTTGTTAAAAAAAGTTTGATGGGGTGATCTTTGCCTGTTTATAAAATACTTAAAAAGCTAACTTGGGAATTACTCACAAATTTGATCTTCATCATCTCTCTTTCAGACTCTGGGAACTGAAATATCAAAGACGTCCAACTGGCTGCTCTGCCCAAAAGGTCAGTATAGTTCAAACTAGTCCTGATTTTTAAATCCCATCAGGTTGAGTACTTTTTACCATATTTTGTAATAGTGTTCATAAATGGATATTTTATTTACCTGTAAGATTATTAATATTATTCCTCCCCTTATTGTTTCAAAGTGGGCTTCTGCTTGACTTTCTGTGCTCAAACTTATATCATATTTGTACAGGACACTGTTTGAAAAAAGCACTGCAGATGACTGTCCCTCAACATGCGATTCCCAAATCTGTCTTTGCTAAAGTCACAGTCAAAGGTAACCCAATTCATTCCTTTAATTTACTGAGTTGTAAAAATCTAAATGAATTTTACTGAAGATGTGTTTCAGTCAGATCCATTTGATATCAAACAGTAGGGTACATTTTCTTGGATTTACTACAAGTTTTTCTTGTATTTCTACTTTGTTTTGTTTTTTTCAGGTGACTTAATGGCAATGGTCCCGGACAGAATTGATAAGCTGCTGCAGGATCCAACGGAAAGTGGGGATAAAAACATAGCTTTAATGGCAGCGAATATCCACATCATAGACTACCTAAAAGAAACTAAGCAGCTGACAGCCGAAATGAGACAAAAAGTGGTCAAATCTCTGTGCTCTTGTAAGGCATCTTTAGTTTTACAATTCAGTTAAAAAAATCCATGTTAAATGAAAAAAAAAAACAGATGTTTTTTCTCTATGATGCTCATAACGGGGATCTTTTGGTATTTATCTTCCTGCAGATTATCAGAAGCAGCTGCTTTACAAAACTGAGGATGGTGCATTTAGTACATTCGAATCAGGACAGCCAAACACATGGTGAGAATATTGCTAATCAGTGACTCGACGGATCATACCAAGAAGCTGATTACCATTTCACATTTGATCTCAACATGTGATTCACCCCAGAGACAGAACCTTTTCTTTCCAACCTTTATCTGTGACATGAGGAGGTTAGATAGACCAAACTCTTTCCATATTGGTTCTACACGGTTTTAGAGAAATGGATTGGCTTTGTCTTTTGGTGTTCCCTGTGCGTTATGCAGAGACCTCACTACAGTGTATTTACTTTGTGACATTTCGAACACCACAATGGAAGTAAATCACTACATAACATTTCATTCACAAAAAATTATCCCAACGGCAGATGTTTTTGTCGTGTGTTTTTTCAAAAGCTTTGAGCGTTTTTCAGTTTTTCCTCCTCAGCGATATCACATGCCAACTTCCGAGTTTCTTTCTTTTTTTGATGTATTTATGCTCAATGATGGTTTTCTTTCTTTTCCTTGTTTTCTCAGCCTCACTGCCTTTGTGATGGCAACTCTTCACAAAGCCCGAGCATACACCTACATTGATCCGAAGGTCATTCAGAATGCCAGAAAGTGGCTGAAATGTCAACAACGAGATAACGGTTGTTTCAAAGTGTCAGGAAGATTCTACAACAACGGAATCAGGGTAAACGGACAGAGTTTTGAGGGAGAGAAATGTTCATTTATACCCAATATATTCTTGATAATGATAATTTGTGTCAGTATCTACTTTTATGAAAAATAATGCAAATAATGTTGAGCTGTGTTATATTTGGATCATGCACACATTAATGTTAGACTGCTTTCTTCATTTAATTCCACTGGTTTACGTGTTACGACCTGTTTAGATCATTATTGTATGCATTGATTCAAGAATGTTGCACAACAATTTACAATGTGCCTGGATACAGTGCTCATAATTGTCCGGAAAGTTGTATGACACCAGCGATGCATTCTCAATTATGCTTTCCCTTTACAGGGTGGTGTGTCTGATGAGGTCATTAATTCCGCTTGCATCATCAATGCCTTCCTGGAGATGAAAATTTCAGCAAAGGTAATTTCATTTATGAATCAACTTTCTTTTCTTTACAATAAAAGCCACTCAGGCTCTCTCAAAAAAGACTGTGGTGACTCTGATCTCTTGGCCTTAGACTTAGTATAGAGAGACATTTATATTTAGTCAGACACAGTGTCTATTCAGACATGTCTGCAGCATTTGAGGTTTGCAAGGCTAAACAAGAAGGAACATCACTGTCTATTTTATTTGCTGAACGTGTGAAAAATAAAAGGGTAAAACAAATCAGTTAGATTTTCAACTGAAATCTGAGGATTCTTTGGCTTCAACTAAGTTTTAGCACAGCCAGTCTGATAATCGGATCCGATTTTAAAATACAATGGACAAATGCAACTATGTGTCGATGGATGAAAATTAAAAACTGCCCTGAATTAATTCATCATTTGTGTTTTTATTCAAACTACCGAAGAACCCTGTTGTAAAGAGGGGCCTGCAATGCCTGAAGGCGTGTGACAGGGACCTCAGCAACACTTATGCCACAGCTATGTTGGCATACACCTTCACCAAGGCCGAGGACGTGGACACCAGTGCTCACCTCCTGCACTACCTCGATTCTGTGGCAAAAAATGAAGGTGATTCATCTTCACGGTTCTTTTTATTCTCGATTCGTTACTGTAACTCCAACTCTAACACTGCCTCTGTTTGTGAACGGCCCGTTTTCAGGTCCTCACCTCTACTGGTCTCAGCCAGGGCCAAAACCATCAACCTCTCTGTCTGTGGGGATTACCTCCTATGTTGTTTTGGCCAAACTCTGTAAATCCCTCTCACCTGACGCCCTATACTCCGTCTCAAAAGTCATACCCTGGTTGATTGAGCAGCAGGAATATCATGGCGGATTTGGCACACCCCAGGTACTGTAAATGTTCTCAATCTAAAAGGTCCATGTATAACTCTGGCTTCAGCAGATACAAGAATATACGGAATAGAAAATGAATGGATGTTTATGACATTCTTAAACAGGATGCTTTAGCCGATAATGCTTTAGCCCACTGTTTTTCTTTCTTTAAAGTATGTTTTTAGCCTAAGTTTATTGTGTTTTTAAGATACTTCCACCTCAAATACATGACTGAAATAAGTCCTCTACCAATTCCTTTAAAATGAGCAAGGGTGCCCAAACGATTAACCATTGCGATATTTGTTTTTGTAATATATCCCAAAATCGTATGGGAGGGACAAATAGATTCAGTCAAAACTAAAAGAGGGAATCGAACAGATCCATCATTTGTTGTTGCTCTGAAAAAAGAAAATGTCTGTGCATCTATTCTTTTTGCAGAAAATATATTTTTTAAATGTATTCTTGTATGCATAAGCCTTTTGTTCTCGCATGAATATTGTTTCTAAGAGTTTCTGTTTGTGTGATTTGTACCGTAGGACACTGTGTTGGCTCTCCAAGCCCTCGGCCGTTACTCTGCTCTGGTGTTCAGCGACAAAGGTTCAAGCACAGTGAAAGTTACTTCTCCCTTGGATCACCTGGTATTTCACGTCAATCCAGACAACAGACTGCACCAGGAGGCGCCCCTGCACGTCCTAAAGGGAAAACACCATGTGAGGGTGGATGGGTCTGCATGCGTCTCAGTACAGGTCAGTAAGGCTAACAGAATGATGGCATCAATAGGTCCGGGCTATTTCTGCCCACAACAAAAAGGTTTAAATTTGAATGTTAGAAAACGTTGGTTGTTCATGTTCACTTAAGCATTTGCAGATGCAAGTATGCGGATTTTACAAGTAGAGCTGATAAAAATTTAGCAGGCATTGGGGGGGGGGGGGGGGGGGGGGTAGGTAGCCCATATTCCCTCCTAAATTGGGAGTGTCCATTTAACCTAACATGGACAGTGGGAGGAAGCACCGTGATTGAATCATTTGAGACAATTTGAAAGGTTTGCATTATTTTACATGACCATTAGCATTTTTTTTAATTTACCTGTTTTCCAGATTTCTCTTAACTACATCATCCCATCTTATAAGAGGACTTTCAGTCATTTCAGCGTGGACGTAGATGTAAAGTGTAGGCCCAACCGTCACGACAAAAAGAAAATCATTCTGAACCTCAAATCCCTGTGAGTAAACGCTTCACTGACAGTTTCAAACTAAGAAGCATTTGGCAATAGACAAGAAACTCCTGCCTAATATTTGTACCATTCCACTGCAGGTACAAAGGAGATGGAGGTTGCACAAACATGGCGATACTGGATATTGAAATCCCCTCTGGATACATCCCTTGCCCCAGGTCTTTGAAAAATGTGAGTCACACAAGTGATTTTTTTTTCCCCCCTGAACAATAGGAATGTCAGAATCTTAGAGGTGATAACAAAGCTTCATGTCCTCTCTTCACAGCTCAGAAGTGGTCAGCAGGTGGAGCACATTGAACACAAGGATCGTCATCTTTATCTGTACCTGAGTGAGGTGAGGAGAGAATTTCAACGCCAGGTGGATAGATGATGCTCTTTGAATTATTTCCCATTTACATTCTCTATTTTTTTATTCTTTTGCTGTTCAGTTATGTAAGGACATAGCTGTCTACCACGTGTTGGAGCTGTTTCAGGAGCATGTGGTGCTGCACCTGAAGCCGTCCAGAGTCAGGCTCTATGACAACCAACATCCATGTAAAGACACTCGGACCATAAAACATGGCAGCACTTTGATTAAACTGATTACAGAGATCAGCAACACTAACCTTAAACTGTTCTTTCTCTTCTTTTTTCTTTCAGGGGGTCAGGCGGTGACAGAATATCGCGTTTGCACTTCAAATAGCGCCAAACCACATCCTGGTCCAAAGCCAATCGCTAAAAAGAATTGCAAACCATTTTACTATTCAAATCGTGGATGTCACTGAGAGACGGTTTTCACAAGAAGTCACAATAATCAGGTGACTCCTCTGATGATTTGATTTGAAACTAAACTGAAATAATGACCACTATCTATTCTATGTTCTCACTTCATATTCTCTTTTTCAGAGTGAAGCACGGTCAGTCTGGAGATGATTGCTGATTCAAGAACAATTTTTCAATTTGTGTTGCCCAAAGGATTCTTTACACAGCTTTTAACTATCGCTAAAGTAGCTAGTATGTTGTTGAAAGCAGTATTTAATACAGCTCAAACTTCATTATCTGAACATGGTTTAAACTAATAAAGGTGTAACCTTATTCACAAATGTAATCATACTTTCTTTCTTCTCCTTTTAAATCCCTATAGAGTTGCATTTTTCTGTGATTCAGTCAAATGTTTATTAAATAAAATAAAAATTATTTGGATTATTTCATTTTCATGTCTATTACTTTTTCAGCTTTGCAAATTATTTTTGATGCAATGAGTTTAATCATCTTGATTATAATTAGTCAAAGTCAGCTGTATAGAGTTAAAAAAAAGATAAATAGATAAATAAAAGGTAAATTCCCCCGGAAGCATTTACCTCTAAGCTCCTAGGCTACAAGTTTTGTTTAGCTAGAGAGTTTAAGCAGCACATGGAACCACTAATAAGACATAAGCCACCATCAAGTGATTTGAAATGACTGACTTTAGAGTCCTTGGAACTTCACTTGAGATGACTAACAGCGACTGGAGGACTGTTCTTTGAGCTGTGATGGGAAATGTTAGTAGGAATGTTAGTTCCCTTTGGGATTATTAAAGTATTTCTGATTCTGATTCTGATTCTGAAAGCTGTGGGTTGCCCTATTTATTTTGTCTCTATACCTCAGCAAACATCGATATGCCATTCTCTTACTATGTTACTGAGTTGTTGTTTTTCAAAGGATCTATTTTACCAATTAGTTATCTTTATGTAAACACCCTCGTCATGAATGCTTTAACTTCCAACTAGAGAAATTATTAAATGCACACACTGAGTTTACAAAGTTAACAGTAAGATTAACTTTAAGGATCCAGACAGAATGGAACAGTTCCAATACCCACAATGAGGCTGTTTCTAATGACATCGTGGGGCAAAATTAATCCTTAATCCTTAATTGTGTTTTCAGTTTCAGATAGGCCAATTCAGAGTCTTCCTCTTAATATCTAAAAATAACTTTAATTCGTGTAATATCTTTTCTTTCTCATTAGAATGATTTCAAAATGTCGGTAAAACACCTTGAATAAGAAATATTTGCAACTGACAAGCGGAGAGTAGCCTCTCGCTGCAGTCTGTAGGAGCCTCGTCTGGATATCCAACTCCATCCACATCCAAGGCGGCCATTTTGATTAGGTCATGTGACTAGAAGCTTTCTGAGTTGGAAACCAAATTTTACTGTCTACACGAAATCGGAAGACAAACCATGTCCTAACCCTAACCCCAACCCAAACCCTAACCCTAACCCTGACCCTAACCCTAACCCTAACTGTCCATCGTTCATATTTGTGAGAAAGAAACATTTTTTGGTTAAATATGTTTGGACTAATTGTAAAAACCTATTTAACATACACTACTTTAACCTAATATTATGTATAAAAGTTAATTCAGTGTTTGCAAGATGAATTTCACTATTTTTAAATTAATGTCTATATTGCCACGAGGCAATTACGATTTTCTAGTCTGGGATGTACTTGGAAGCGGATTCACCACCGTCACGTGCAACGTGACGTCACTTCCTGGATGTAGGGGAGACCGAATGACAGCTGGTTTGTTTTCATCAACAAGGCTAATTGAGAGTATCTGATGAAAGGTACGTTTAAGGGGGTAGCACACA